GGGGTGATGCCGAGGAGGAGGGCCCCCCAAGGTCTGGCTCTGCAGATGGCGGGCCCCTGCAGGATCGCGAGCCCCTGTCCCCTTCCAGGGTTCCCTTCTTTGAGACTCCAGGCCCCTCCCAGAGACCCCACCACATCCCTGAACGACACCCCTCCTGCAGTCCCCTCAACTCCTCACCGACCCTCGCATCACCCCCTCTCCCTGAAAGCCCTTGCCCTCACTGAGCCTTCATTTCTTCAGTGTATCCTCAGCCCCCTCTCCGGGTCTCATGCCCCTCATGGAGCCCTCCCCCCCGTATACAAACGCCTCCTGGCTGAGCCCCCGCCTTCGCAGACTCCCACCTCTCTCCCTCCTCTCTGCGCCCCCGCCCACCACTGAGCCTCACCTTTCTCCTCTCTCTCGCTGGGTGCCTACCACGAAGTACCTTCCAGCTCACATCAGGGCCCCTTATCTCTTACGGAAGTCCTCACCTCAGTGAGTCCCCATCCTCTCCCAACCTACCCCTGGTTCTGCCCTGGGCAGTGTGCCTGGGGCCCACCTCCCTGGACAGCCAGCCTTTGCCCAGCAGCTTGTCTATTTCATTCCTTGTCATGTGCTTACAGCCTTGGTTTTGTCCTACCTTTGCTGGGTGGCTTTGGGAAAGTCACCACACCTCTCTGAGCTCCACCAGGCACCACTGCACAAACATGTCTTCATGTCTTGAGCATCCATTCTGTCTCTTCATGCTGGGGGCTGGGGCACCAGGATGAACGAACTCTGCACATCTTTTCCGTTCACTATTGTATCCCGAGCCCGAGCCTCACATAGGGCTTGGCACTGAGTAGGCAGCTCAGTAAATATTTTCTGAACACAAACTAATAAGAATATCAAATATACAGGATGGGGCAAAAGTAGATTTACAGTTGTAAGTATGGAAAATAATACAATAATTAATAAATAATAATACAAGAATAAACTGTTTCGTGTAGTCACAACTGTAAACGTGCTCTTGCCCCATCCTGTATGATGCTCATTATGCGCACAGTCTTGTCTAAGTACTTATATGTATCACTCATGTAACCGTGTGTGTGGGGGGGGGGAGCTCAAAATTATAGGCCTTGAGTTGAGAGGCAGGCTACATGAGATCCTTCGGGGCCTCATAAGGAGTTTGAACTTCAACCAAAGAGAAGTAGAGAACCATGGAAAGGTTATAAAGAGGGGAGGGCTGTGATCTGATTTGCACTGTAAAGATCCCTCTGGCTGCTGATCCCTTAGAACAGGATAGAAAGCTCAAGAGTGGCAGCAGAGAGACCAGCGAGGAGACTCCAGACCAGAGATGATGATGTCTTGCCTAGTGAGCTTGCAGAGAAATGGATGGATTCAAGAGATGTTAGGAGCTGAAATGAACTACGGGGATGGCAAAAGATTGGAGACAACCTGTGACCATTTCCATGGCTGCAAATTCTTTAGCACTTCTCTTTAGAAAGGTGGGATTTCTGTACTCTCTCTTTGTATCTTGAGTGAGCTGATGACGGCTTCAACCAATAGAGCGTGGTGGACACTATGCCCTGACTTCCAAGGCTAGGACACGAAAGGACGTGCACTTCCCCGGGGCTCTAGCTCTTGGAGACCTGAGGCTTTGTGTAAGAAGTCTGTCTGCCTTGAGGCTGGCATGCAATGAAGCCAGTACCACATGGAGAGCCCACATGGAGGCGCCACAGTCCCAGCTGAGCTTGGCCTTGGAGTCACCCTTGCTCAGTATCAGACACGTGGATAAACAAGTAGATAATTCCAGTCCACTGCCACTGGGATCAGCTTCAGCTCTGATGATACTGGACAGGGGGTGAGGTTCTGGAGGGCATGGGAAGGGGTGAGGTTAAAGGCACAGAAGAGTGGGCTAGGCATGAGCCAGCCCAGGGAGGATCCAGTGTTCTCTGCTACAGGAACCAGCCAGATCCTGGGGAGGGAGGGGAGTGGCCACTGAAAAGAGATACAGTGTGGTGGTGTGAGCTGAACTCTGGAGTTAAACAGATGCAGGTTTCAATCTGCCACTTGCTACTTACATGATTTAACTGCTCTGAGCCTCAGTTTCCCTGACTGTAAAATAGAGATAATAGTAGTAGTTGCTTCTCAGAGGGCTTATAAGAGTGAAATGAGAGGTGCATATAGGACACTTAGCAAAGCACCTGGAATAAAGTAAGAACTCAATAAAGGATTGTCGTTACTACTGTTATTGTTATGTTAGTTTATAGGTGGGCAGTTGAGTGACATGACACCTGATAAATTGAAGACTCTTAAGAAAAACAAGACACATTGTCTATAAGAAAGAGAAAGGCTTTAGCTCAACAGGATGCTTAAAAACGGTGGCAAGGCAGGCACAAAAGGCCACATTTTACATGATTATATATATGAAATATCCAGCCAGAAAATCCATA